CCCCCCCATCGCTTCCCTCACTGGGTGTGGCGCTTCTCATCCCCTACTGGGAGACAGGGCAGGAGTGGGGGACAGACAAATTCCTGCTGACCCCAGCCCCTGCAGAGCCCAGGGGGGCGCTGGAGGCTCAGGGCAAGCAACAGGACCCAGGTATTTGAGCCCAACCAAGTTTTTAAGAGTAGACTTTTTCTGTGAACAAAAGTGTGATTTTTTTTTTTTTTTTTGTAATTTATGTAAATAAAGTGGTTTTGGTGTTGTTTCTTTTTTTACAAAATGGATTGTTCCAGAGCTCAGGTACAGCCAAACCTGAGAAAAGGGAACAGACCCTCGCAGAGGGCAGAGCCACATCAAGATATGGGGGCCAGCAGAATCAGGGGCCATGTGGCAATCCCCACTCACATCCTGCCGAGCACGGTGGTGGCTGCACCAAGGGTGGGAGGCACAGCTCCAGGGACAGAATGACCTGCTCCAGTGGCTCCAGGGACAGAGAGCTAGGAGCTGCCAGGGGAGCCCTCTTCAGGGCTAGAGGCTGTGGTCTTCTGCTTCAGGGGGATGATGCAGATGCTGTTTTTGGCTTCTTTGATTCTCCACCACCGTCCCAGCCTGTGGGTGAGAGAGATGGGGGAGTCACCCTCCATCAAGACCCAGAGGGGAGGGAAGCTGCACGCCCAGGCAGCTACACCACGGAGGGGGGACAGTACCGGTGCTCCTGCCCGATGCCAGCCACCAGGAAGTCACCAGCTGCTGAGAACTTGAGGCTGTTGACAAAACCCACCTGGAGGGGACAGAGCAGGGTGAGGGCTCCCACAGCTTCTCCTGCTGCCCAAGAAGGGGAGCCCCTGCTGAGAGACCCTCCAGCCCAGCTCCAGAATTCCCAACCTGCCCATCCATCCATACCAAGGGGATGTCCAAGAGGTGCTCCAGCTTCCGAAATCCTTCACCGCACTTCCAGAGCTTCACACTGCCGCTGTGGGACCCTGGGGCACAGAGAGGAGCCTGTCACGCACCCCAGCCCAGGGATGGAGCAGGACACATCCCCCACAGGCTACCACCCCACACACCTGTGGCCAGGAGGTCAGTGTTGCGCAGGGCAGCCACGGCTGAGATCCACAAGGGCTGCTGCAGGCCCTGGGCCTCCTGCTCACCGTGCGCCTGCCGAGCCAGCGCCAGCGGCTTCTTCTTCGTCAGCCCCCACAGGGCTAAGGACCTGCGGGGGATGTGAGGGGTGAGGGGGCTGAGGGGGCACCCTGCCCACCCCCCAGGCATCATCCTGGCCCCGTGCTCACCCATCATCAGCACCAGACACCATGTGCTCCTCGTTGATGAGCTGGATACAGTCGATGGAGCCCCTGCAAAGAGAAGAGTGTGCTTTGGGATCCTGCAGGGCATCAGCAGCCCCAGGATGCTCCTGGCACCTACACAGCACTGCCCCAGCTGGACACACCTGCCCGCAGCCCCTTCTTCCACCCCAGACCTACTGGTGCCCAGAAAACACGAGCTGTGATTCCTCAGGGATCTTCCAGAGCCGCACGGTGCCGTCCCGTCCCCCCGCTGTCACACAGCACTCCCGGCTCAGGCTGTCCAGCCCCGTGATGATGTCCTGGTGTCCGAACCTGCAGGAAATGACAAACAGCTGTGGCAAGTAGGGCCCTCTGCCCCCTCACCTCCTCAGGACTGCTGGGCCCCCCTTGGAAGGGTCAGTGGGATTTCCCCAGCTCTTACAGGGTCTCCACGTAGGCGTTCTCAGCCACATCCCAGACCTTGACGCAGCGGTCGTGAGAAGCGCTGTACAGCTGGTGTGTGCCCTTTCGGAAGGACAGGCCCTGGGGACAGACGGACAGGCACGGCACAGCAGTGAGGGATGCCGAGCAGGACACAGCTGCCTGGCCCCACAGGCGCTGTGCCCAACGCCCCCAGCTCACCGAGACGGCGTCGCGGTGCCCTGTGAAGATGTGCAGGCGCTTGCAGGTGGCTGCATCCCAGATCATGATCAGCTTGTTCCTGTCTCCTGTAGCCTGGCAGACAGCAGGGGACACCTGAGACCTGCACACTGGACACCCACAGCCCACCCCTGCCTCCACTCCCACTCCGTGGGCTTTGGCTGTCCCAGGGACCCATTCTTGACCCAGCAGGGGACAGGGGCTGCTTTAACCCAGCAAGGCACATCTGGGCGTGAGACTGCACCCCAAGGACCCAGGGAGAACACTCCCCATGCCCTCTCTCCACCCCTGTCCCCTTACCAGGTACTTGCCATCCGAAGAAATGGCCATGCAAAGGACTTGGGACGCGTGCCCCATGTGCCGCTCCTCCGTGCCCTTCTTCCCCCCGGGCACCACGCACAGCCTCTTCCCACTGTCCACCTCCCCTGCAGGAAAAGCATCACAATCACCCTCTGGGAGCCTCCCACCACTCCCAAAAGCGTCAATGAGCCTTTCACAGAGCCTGGAATTATGCACAATCCAAGAACAGCCAAGGGCCAAGCCATCTCAGAGGACACCTGGGTCCTTGCAGGGGTTGGGCTTGGGAACAGCCAGTCACAGCCCCAGGTGAACACTTGCATTTGATGAGGGAGCCGTCCTTGGAAGCAGAAAAAATGAATCTGTCATCAGGAGAGATGACGAGGCAGGTAACGGGCAGCTGGTGTCCCCGCAGCACACGGATCCTGGCTGGATCTGGAGGCTGTACCTGCAGGAAGAGCAGGATGTGAGCTGGGCTGCCCAGGACCCTTCCCCAGGCACAGGAGTACCCCAGCACAGCCCCCTGACTTCTCCAGGGAGAAAGGCTGTAGCGTGCTGGCCGTGCCTTAGTGTCCCCTGAGCTGGCACCGGCACCCCCAGCAGCGGGCACTTACATCTTTGGCCACCAGGCGCTGCAGCCGGCCTCTCTGCTCCAGCTGGGGAAGAAGGGGCACGTTCAGCAGAGGTGGCCTCGGTCCCGGTCCCGCGGGAAGGGGACAGAGCCCGCTGCCGCCAAGGGGACCGAGGGGCCGCGCCCGCCTCCCCGCTCACCACGTCCTCCTTCAGCCGGTCGCCGATGAGATCCGCCGGCTCGAGTTCCTCCTCCTCCTCCGCCCGCTCCTCCTCTGCGGCGGGACAGCGTGTGAGGGTCGGGCTCAGCGCCCGGGGCCGCCCCGCGGGGCACCGGCGGCGGGCGGGACTCACCGAGCTGGCGGAGCTCCTCCAGGTACTGCTTGGCCAAGCGCAGCTTCTTCTCCTGCGGCGTCTCCTCCACCTCCTCCTCCGCTGCCTCTCGCCGCCGCCGCCCCAGCAACGGGCTGCAGGGACACGCGTGCGTGAGCATCGGTACCGGCACGCCACAGGTACCGGCATCTCTCCGGTACAGGCATCCCCCGGTCCGACACCCCTCCGGTACAGGCACCCCACAGGTACCGGCATCTCTCCGGTACAGGCATCCCCCGGTCCGACACCCCTCCGGTACAGGCATCTCTCGGTACCGGCGCCCCGCTACGGTAGCGGCACTCCCCAGGCGCAGCCCTTACCTCTCTGTCTCCGAGTCGCTGGACACTTCCTCGTCGGCGGGCCGACCGGCCGTCGCCCGCGGTCTCCCATCGGCGCCCGGTGCCTGCGGAACAAAATGGGGCGATCGACGGGACGGGACGGGACGGGAATGGGGACGAGCGCAGCAAAGCCTCACGGCGGAGACCCCGGCGAGGCAGCCCTTCCTCGCCCGCCTCCCTGTGTCCCTCCGGCCCGGCCCTTACCGCCGGCCGCGGCCGCCGCCGCGCCGCCGCCCCGCGCGCCCGCCGCCGCCGCCGCCATGCTGCCGCCGCACGTGGGCACGCCGGCCGCCAGCGGGGCTCGGGCCACGCCCCCGACAGCGTCTATTGGCTGTGGCCGGCAGGATCCCGCCTCCTATTGGCCCCGCGGCACCGCCTACCGGTGCCGGAAGCGCGCCCTGCCCCGCCTCGTCCGCCGGCCGCGCTGTCACTCGGGTGTGACGTCACGTGCCCGCCCCGCCCCGTAGTCCCGCCTCCATCGTTTGGTCACGCCCCTGCCGCTGGCCACGCCCCTCCGGTCCCGGTGGCGGGGTCCCTTCGGCCGGGACCGGCCGCTCGTACCGGGGACCCGCTGCCCGGGACCGGTTGTCAGAGCCCCAGGGCCCCCAGCGCTGCCTCCTCTGCCCCCCATGGCCCTTCGGGCCCAGTCCTGCAGCTGGCAGACCCCGCGGTGACAGCGACAGCGGGCTGGCACTTCTGAAACCATGACAACTCCTTCTGCCCCTCAGGGACCCTTAACCAGCCTCCACTGTCGGGCATGGCCTCTGCTCCGTTCCCTGTCCTTTGTGGAGCTCCAGGGCCCCATCCTGGGCCATGAAGCGGTAGTGGCTGTCTGTCTGGGACGGGTGATGCTCTGAAGAGCTAAAAACCGCTTTTGTGCAGAAATTTTATTATGTGCAAACAATCTCTTTTCTCTTTGGCACAGGGGGAGTCAGGGAAGGACAGTGGGAATGCCCTGCACTGGTCTCTGCAAGGCAACAGGCCTAGGGAGAGCCTTTCCCAGCCTGTGCAAGTGGATGCACCAGGTGGGGAGGGATGCTGCCCTCAGGTTCAGCACCCCAGGGCATGACAAGAGGAGCCTCTTGCCTGGAAGCCTGTCGAGGCTACGAAGTTTTGGTCTTGGTGGCCTGAGGCTGCTGTGGAGCTGCTGCTCAGGCTTTGAGGCTGCAGGAACCCATGCCAGGGGCAGTGTGGAAGGAGCTGGGTGGACAAGGAACCCACCTCGCCATCCATCCGGGCAGCCGGAGCAGAAAGGCAGCTGTGGTCAGCTGTGGTCATGGAGGGGAGCTCTGCCTAGGAACTGAGTAAGCTAGAACTCACGGGACACGTCTGAAGGGCCCAAACTGCAGTGCCCAAAAGGCTGGCCAGGGTGGGAATCCCACCTTGGCCTCGTCTGTGTCTGGTCATGTAAGTGAAGGAGCTGTCCTGCACCTCCTGCTTCATCATCTTCTTGGTAAGCCCCATCACGACTTGAAGGATTCGGATGGAGAGCTCCCGCACAGTGTATCGCTCCTTGGGGAGGAGGGGAGGGCGTGAAGATGGACACCCCCAAAACAGCCTCGGGCAGCGCAGCCCCAGAAGGGAGCGGAGCTGCAGCACCGCACCTCTGCCCAGCGGGGCGTGCTGTCCCTGGGCCTGGAGGCCCTGCGGAGGTCCGGGCAGGCCAGGGTAGGGTGTGCCGCCGTCCTGCCCCGGCCCGGCTGGGTGTCCGGTGCGCGGGGATTTGGGAGCGGCCGGAGCCGTGCGGGCCGTGCGCCCTCCGGCCGGCAGAGGGCGCGGGCGGGCCCGGCCGGCCCGAGGAAGTGACGGCGGCGGCGGGGCCGAAGCACGGTACGGGCGGGACCGGGCTGGGGCAGGGGAGAGAGCGGGGAGAAGGGCCCGGAGAGGGGCTCGGTGGTGGCCCAGTAATGGGCCGGTGATGGGTCAGTGGTGGGTCAATGCTGGGGTCACTGTCAGGGTCAATGACGGGTTGGTGGGGGGATCAGTGACGGGCCAGTGAGAGGGTCAGCAATGGGGTCAGCAATGGGGTCAGTGATGGGTGAGCGGTGGGGTCAGTGGTGGGTGAGCAGTGGGGTCAGTGATGGGGTCAGTGATGGGTGAGCGGTGGGGTCAGTGATGGGGTCAGTGATAGGTGAGCGGTGGGGTCAGTGGTGGGGTCAGCAGTGGGGTCAGAGATGGGGTCAATGGCAGGTCAAAGGACAGGTCAGTAATGAGGTGAGTGTTGGGTCAGTGGTGGTCGGTGAGGGTCAGTGGTGGGGTGGGGATCTGTGTTCAGCAAGTGCAGCCATGAGGTGGGAGCAGTGATCAGCTGGGTGATGCCATTTCAGTGTCTGTGTGTGAGTGCTGTGTGGTTTGGGGCAATCGGCGTGCAGGCAGCCTGAGTGCCCGTGTGGGGGTGCAGCGTGGGAAGTGGTGTGCTGTGTGGGGCCCTGGACAGACGTGTCATTCACACCGGGGAAGCAGAACCAGGCGCTGTGGTTGGTCATGAGCCTGGGCTGCTTCCTGCTGCGCTGGCACCCGGGGCAAAGGAGCCAGCAGCGGCGGGCAGGGTGAGTGTGAGCACGGTGAGCGTGAGCAGGGACAGTGTGAGCAGGGTGACTGAGCAGGGTGAGTGCAGACAGGGAGGGTGGGTGAAGGCAGGGTGAGTGCAGGCTGGTGGGTGGCAGGCAGATGCTGTTGGAGTCCTGGCGTGGCTTTGCTGGGCAGGTGGAAGGAAACCATCACCCACTCAGGAGTGCTGGTGGGGTCTGACCTCTGAAGGGGACAGTGCAGGCTGCACTGTGGGTCAGGAGTTTTGGAGCTGGGGGGTGTCCCCACCAGGCCTCCTGGGGGCACCTAGGGTGTGGGAGGGCAGAGTCAGGCCCTCCCCAACCCCCAGAGGGGAAGTGGGGCAGTTTGCTCAATCCTAGTTAATCAACTGGCATGGTGGTTCCTCCTGTCTTCTGCCTGTGGCTTCTTTGCAAAGAGAACTGTCAGGCTGAGAGGGGACCCCACAGCATGCTGTAGGATAGGGGTTTTCTGACCCCTCAGAGGCTGTTTGGGCTGCTCAGAACCCCAACTCTGAGGACATGTGTGATGGGATAGCTAGTCTGATGGGTGCCAAGGTGGCAGGAGCTAGTGGCAGGGGCTGGCAAGGAAGCACTGTGCCTCCTGCCTGTCAGCTAATTTGACAGTGCTAAACCTTTCTGCAGGTCTCATGGCATGAGTTCCTGGAGCTGGCACCATGTGCCACTTCCCTGCCACGAGTCTCTTGTTTGACCTTGGACTCGCCAAACCTCCATGAATTCATCTGGCTGTGCCACTGGGGAACCGTGCCTGTACTGGGGCCAGTGGCGGGCTGGGGGGAACTCACGCACGGTCTGTGCCTTACTGCCTCTAAGCTGTGACCTGCTTGGTTTCCCGTCAGTGAGAAGAATGGGTTCTGTGTCCGAGGAGCTCAGCTTGGTCCCCTTGCACCAGAGGCCGGAGCTGCTGGAAGCCTGTGCCAAGCTGCTGGGCGAGGAGTGGGGGAAGAGCCGGGCGTCGCGGCTCCACACGCTCCAGCGCTCCTCGGACGCCTTTCCCACCTGCCTGCTGCTGCTGCGGAGCCGGGGCCCCAGCGAGACCCCCGCCGCCCGGGAGGGGCCCTGCGAGCTCGTGGGCCATGTCCGACTCTCGCGCGTGGTCAGCCGTCCCCATGACCTCTTCGTGGAGAGCGTGGTGGTGGCCCGGGCGCTGCGGGGCCAGGGCTATGGGCGCCGGCTGATGGAGGGCACTGAGCAGTGGGCCCGGGCCCGGGGCTTTCGCTGCCTGCACCTCACCACCCATGACAAGCAGCACTTCTATGCCCACCTGGGCTTTGTCCTGGGCGAGCCGGTGCAGAGCGTGGCCTTTCTCAGCCCGGCTATATCCTCTGAGGTGCTGCGGCTCTTCTCCGCCCCTTCTGGGGCTGCCACTGCCATCACCACCAGGCCATGGGTACCCGCTGCCCCCCCGCCTCCTCTGCCGCCCCTGACTGTCCCCCCACCACCTCCCCCACCGACAGTGATCTGGGCAAGGGGTGTCCTGGCTGAGAGCAGCGAGCAGAGCCTCCTGGAATCCCGGCACCGCGATGCCAAAGGGCTCCCCATCTTCTGGATGAAGAAGGACATCTGAGGGGCTGGGGCCCGAGCCAGTGATTAAAAGCAGTGCGGGTGGGAGCTGCCCGCCGCAGCGCTGCCTGACTGCCTGCCATTCTTCAGGGCTGGCACCAGCTCCCCCAGCCTCCATGGCTCACCCTGGAGGGGTGCTGGCAGGGAATGGGCAGAGTTCCGTACCATGCCCTACCTGGGCACACTGTCTCCATTCCTGCCTGGCCCCCCACTCGCCTGGCTGGGGCTCTGGAACCACCAGCATGGTGGGGAGACAGGCCCACCCCAGGCTGTGGGGCTGGCACTAGTGCCCAGGAGCACTGCCCAGCCCCACCAGCTGTCTCCTCCGCTCAGGATTTGCTGTGGGGCAGCTGGGGCTGACGGAAAGTGGCGGCCTCCAGCATGGCCACAGCTGTCCCCCCTGAGCAGTCTGGGGAAACTGAGGCACAGGATGGCTGGGGGGGCACTTTGGGAGTAGGGCATGGTAGTTAGTGGGGCTGCAGAATCAGGTCCCCTGCACTGCACAGCAAGAGGTGCAGGTGGCCAAACCCCCCTGAGGCAGCCGGTGTCAGTGAGGGCCTGCGGCATGGGAGCGGGAAGGTCAGAGAGAGCGTCCGGCCTTGCAGCGAGGGATTAGCACTGTCCTTGCTGTGTCACGCGGCCCTGGGCCCATTCCCCGCCTAATCCCCTCATTCTGGGCAGCTGGCCAGTATCAGGCAGGGGCACCAGACCCCTCTGGCTCTGTCTGGGCTGTGAGGGACAGTGCTGCCCCTTTGGTCCCACCATGCCTCCTGGGGAGACTCAGTCCTTCAGAAGGTCACCCAGCCTGGCTCAGCACTGTGCTGAAATGGGGACCAGGGAGCCTTGGTGCCTCTACTACAGGCAGGATGGGGAGTGAGCAGGGAAATTGAGGCACCAGGGTCAGTGGCTTGCACTGCCACTCCAGAGCTGTGCCATGGCTGTGGTGGTGCAAGCAGGATCTCAGCACCAGAGAGCAGCAGGCAGAGGTAACACTGGCAGTGCTGAGGGCAGGAGAGGTCTCAAACCTCCAAGTGTACCAGGTCCTGTCAGGTTTTGGGATGGGCAGCATGTGCTTGCAGGACAGCCCGGCCCCTGTTGCCAATCCTAGTCCACCATGTGCCAGGGGGACAGTGCCTGCATTGCTGGAATGCCCACTGCATCCCACAGCCTCACACCCATGGCTCTCCTTTCCTCGCAGGGTGCCGGCCCCGCAAGCAGCTGGTGAGGCGGGATGGTGCTGGTGCTGGCACTGTGGGCCTGCCTGGCACTGGGCACAGCCCGTGAGGAGAGCCCGGCACCCGCGCCCCTGGCAGGTGGCCAGCCCTTTGCCGTGGTGTGGAACGTCCCCTCCGGGCGTTGCCAGCACCGCTTTGGCATAGGGCTGCCCCTCAGCGACTACGGCATCGTGGAGAACCAGGGTGGCCACTTTGCTGGCCAGAACATCACCATCTTCTACAAGAACAAGTTTGGTCTGTACCCCTACCTGTCACAGCATGGTGTCCCCCATAACGGGGGCCTCCCCCAGCGTGTCTCCCTCCACGCCCACATCAACAGGGTGGCCGAGGACATCCACCTCCTCCTGCGACCTGCTTTCCATGGCTTGGCCGTGGTGGACTGGGAGGAGTGGAGGCCCCTGTGGGCCCAAAACTGGGGAGCCAAAAAGATGTACCGGACAGCCTCAGAGCAGTGGGTGCGGGACCAGCACGGTGTCCTGCCGGAATGGCAGCAGCTCCGACTGGCCCAGCTGGAGTTCGAGCAGGCGGCACAGGCTCTAATGGAGGAGACACTTCTGGTGGGCCGAGCCCTGCGCCCTGGGGGGCTCTGGGGTTTCTACCGCTTTCCCGACTGCCTCAACAGCAACTGGGCCAAGGAGGCAAACTACACCGGGCAGTGCCAGCCGGCGGAGGTGCAGCGCAACAACCGTCTGGGCTGGCTCTGGGCCGCCTCGTCTGCCCTCTACCCCAGCATCTACCTGCCGCTGGCGCTGCCGCCCGCCCTGCGCCGCCGCTACGTGCACCACCGGCTGCGCGAGGCCCTGCGCGTGGCCGCCTTCGGGGCCCACGGCCTCCTGCCCGTGATCGCCTACTCCCGCCTCTCCTTCCGCCGCTCCTCACGGTTCCTGCCTCTGGTAAGCAGTGTGGGGCCGGAGCTGGCCACGGGTGTGATGCAGGGTTCTGGTTGGCACAGGGACAGAGGCTGTGTCCCCCAGAGGGGTCACGTCTCTGTTCCTGGCAGGCTGACCTGGTGCACACCATCGGGGAGAGCGCGGCGCTGGGAGCGGCTGGGCTCGTGCTCTGGGGAGACATGTCGTACTCCCACTCGGCCGTGAGTATGGCCCCCGCAGCACTCGAGGCAGTGGGCAGCAGCAGATGTGTGGGATGTACGGAGTGGCCACATCCCCCGTGCCCACCAGGGAGGGCTGGCCAGGTCTCTGTTGCTGGGGCGGGTTGTCACTGGTGGTTCCTCCCCAGGAAAGCTGTGCCAACCTGCGCCACTACCTCGTGTCCACCCTGGGTCCTTACGTGGCCAACGTGACGGCAGCAGCCCGAGAATGCAGCTATGGGCAGTGCCATGGGCACGGGCGCTGTGTGCGCCGGCAGCCCCACGACCTGGGCAGCCTCCTGCACCTCGGCCCCGGTGCCAGCCCTTGGGCTGCTTTCCGCTGCCACTGCTACCGTGGTTGGGCAGGTGAAGGCTGTGCCCAGCGGGTATGGCTCAGCCCTGCCACCTCCTGCCAGGTGCCCGACCATGCTCACAGCCTCTATGGGCACAAGGATGTCACATCCTCTGACACCTGCCTGCCACAGGGCACGTGGGGCTGGTGACAAAGGCCAGGGACCGCTACGGTCCCCTACCCCAGCAGTGCTGCTGCTGGCACTTCCTGTGGTCTCATTAATCTAAATAAATTCTCCTTGCACAGCTGGCATGGTTTTTGTGGGCAAAGCTGGGCGACTCTGTGGTGTCCTCATGCTGGGCACAATTGCCATTGCTGCTGAGAGGCAGCACAGACCCCAGTTTGGCTCTGGATGGGTCCAGCAGTGCATCAGTTTTCCTGCATGGGCTCTGCCCTGATCCCATGAGCTGGCAGCCCCTTTACCCTGGGAAAGGGGCCATGGGGCACTGCCACAACCTGCTGTCCCTTTGCCACTGGCACTGTGCTGCCAGCAGCCCTGACCACGTCACCAGGCCCCCCTCCCCACAGCTATTTTTATCGGCCCCCAACCGTGTTTCTCACTGTCCTATTTTAAGCGGCGCAGTTGGCGCACTGGGAACCCAGTGCCCAGCTCCTGGGGGCCCTGCAGCACCTCACTGCCCGCTCACGCTGCCCGGGCGTAGGGAGCCATGCCCAGGGAGGCTGCAGAAGGTACACTGGGGAGTGGGCTTGGGGCTGGCGGGGGCTCTGGCACCCCAGGGGATACCGGGCGATGCAAGGCTGTGGGGTCGGGATGGAAGCAGTTGATAGATGGTGCCCTCTGCCATGGGGGCTGTGGGCAGAGATGCCTGCGCAGGGAAGAAGGGGGTCCTGGAGGGCTGCAGGAGTTGGGCAGCAGGGTCTGGGGAGGGTGCAAGCAGCTGGCGTGCACAGCCCCCTGCAGCAAACCTACATTACCAGCTGTGCCCCACCCGGGGGCAAGTGGGTGCAGGGGTGATGTGGGTATCTGTGGAGCAGTCCCTGGCCAAGGGTAGGGCTGTGGGGAGGCTCTGAGCGGACCCTGGGTACCGGCTCAGGCCCCCCAGCCCTGATGCCTGCCAGCCCTGCGGGTGACACACAGTCTGGACAGCAGCAGCACGGCGCCACGCTGCCCTGCGCCACGCCACTGACCCCGGGAGGGATTGGGAGTGGGCATGCTGCCAGCCTGCCATGCTCTGCCAAGGGCACAGTGCGTGGGCCCTACCCACTCACTGCTCAAAAATACACAAACACCTAGAAAATAATCTTTTCCCTCTACCCCAATGCAGGCATGGTTATTTCCCAAAACAGGAACAATGCCTACTTCTAAAAAGCCCTCTCAGTAGGGCTTTAGAGCAATAGGCACCAGGGCCCCCTGGCACAGCATACACCCCACATCTCCATCTGTGCACCCCCAAGCACCACAGTACTTACAGGGCAAGCTGGGCCACACCACAGACTGGCACTGCCCTGCACCTGCCCACCAGTTTCCAGCTGGCCCTTGGAGCCCCAGCCAGTCCCACAGTGCCTGGGCTATCCTGGCTGGGGGGTGGCACATTCCTGCCCCCAAGCCAGGGCCAGATTCCAGCCCCACTAACAAGGCTCTGGGATCGTGGCCACCAGGCACGGCTAACTGCTGCGATGACAGCGGTGGGGCCGGGGGGGCACAGCCACTGCTTGCCCACTGTGGCTGCAGGGCTGGGCCAAAGGAGCACCAGCCTTGGCTGCCTGCCCTGGTGCAGCACCGGGCTGCCAAGGCTGGATCCCCCAGCAGGGCTCTGGTCCCACAGGGGTGCCCAGGGCAGGCAGGGGCTGTGGGCAGGGCACAGGCTGACCCTTTGCCTCTGTTCCAGCAGACAGCATGGGAAGGGCTGAGGGTGCTGCACCAGCAGAGCCTGGGGACCCCGACAGCAGTGAGTCCGGAGCCATCAGCCTGCGCCCCGTGGAGTCCATCAGCGACCTGTACTGGGCCTCGGGCGGGCACAAGGGCACAGAGGGTGAGAGGGGGGCAGGGGGGCTGTGCAAGACCCGGCTGTGCCCGTGGCCAGGCTCTGACCCCTTCTCTCCCCTGCCTGCAGGCAATGGCCCGGCTCCCTCCAGCAGCCTGCACCGGCCCCCGCCTCGGCCCGTGTCCCCCGTGCCGCCGCCGCTCCTGCCCACCCTGCGCCCCGTGCCCCCTGCCAGCCTCTGCCCCTGCCTCGGCCCTGGCCACCCCCTGCTGCTGGCCCTGCTGGCACTCCTGGCACTGTCGAGCCTGGTCCTGGCCACACTGGCCATCTACCTGAGTGGTACGTGGCACTGGCAGGGTGGGAGCTGGGGAACTGTGGGGGGCTGAACTGCCTGCCCTCAGCACGTTCCCATCCTCTCCCCGCAGTCCTGCAGAGCCAGTCGGTGCGGGCGCTGGCCCAGTGGCTGGAGAGCCAGGAGGACGCCGTGCACCAGCTGCGGGCAGCCAGCAGGCAGCTCTGGGCTCGCCTCAATGCCAGTGCCCAGCCTGGCGGGCACCGCTGAGCTGCCCCTCACGCCACCATGGGCTCTGGGATGCCACGGGAAGGGGCAACGAAGGGCAGGAGGGGGGAGTGGGCAGCCTTACCCACTGAGACCTGGCAGCATTGCCCCTTGGGGCACAGGGGCAATCCGGACCCTGTCCCAGGCTGTGAGAGAAAGAAACTGGGCTGTAAGGACCTGCATCCAGCCCAGTGACAGCCCCTCCTCTTAACAAGGCAGAAGGCATACTTTATTTAGCCTTTTAATTACCTCTTACAATCAAAGTCTTAGAAAAATCACCATGATAGATACATTCCCAGGGTGGCAGGCACTGCCAACTGGCATGGCCCCATGCCCGCCTGGGCAGTGCCCCCCCTGTAATTAATTTCCCACAAGATTACTATTTCATATAAAGCGTTTGGCTGGAAAAGGATTAAGAGTGGGAAGTTGGCAGGACTGGGCAGAGCTTCCCACTCCACAGTGCTCTGCCACCATCGCTGACGCCAGGCTGGCTGGAGAGGCAGGGGCTGTACCCAGCATGGCAGGGTGGGGAGAACGCTCCTGCCACAGGCACAGACACCAGGGCCAGCTGCTCTGCACAGCTGCACAGCTCTGCACAGCTCTGCCCTCCCACCCACCCTTCAGGCTGTGCCAGGCCACTCTGGTGCTCCTGCAGGACTGGGGACGGTGTACACGAGCCCTGCCACCAAAAGTGGCTGCAAGAGTCTGAGTGAGACCCCCCCCCTCCCCACTGTGTCACATGGATCCGCAGCCACAGAGCAGGCACACGGCAGCACGCCACCACCTCCCCCTGCTCTTCTTTTATGCTTCCTATTTTTTGGTTAAAAAAATAAAAGAGGGGGCAGCCCCCCCTTGGGGCAGCTCCAGGTATTAAATACTCTGCTGTACATGAATAAAAGCCCGAGGGCTGGGGGCACCTGCCCCTCACAGTGCTGGGTCTGCAGTCCAGGTGGGCTGGGGGCTCTGCCCCCTCTGCCCATCACAGCACATCCGCCCGCTTGTCCCGCACGCGGCTCCGGGCTTTCGTGCGCGCTTTGAAGGCAGCTGAGTTGTAGAGGTGCTGGAAGGAGAGGAAAGGAGAGATTAGGGTTTGGGGTGCCCCTCTGGCCACCTCCCCACAGCACCCACCACACTCAAGCACTCAGCTGGAGCCCCAGGTGGCAGAGGAGGGGACTGTGGGCACAAATCTGGGAGGTGGCACCACCTTCTCGAAGCGGGAGACCTTGCTGGCTTTCAGGGCAGCCGCATCCAGCACCAAGGGGGGCCCGAGGCCGAAGATCTCCCGTAGCAGCTCATTGTTCTGTGAAAGCAGGGGTCTGTCAACACCCACCAGCACCAGCCCAGCACTCCCTGGTGCATCTGCCCAGCCCATACCTGGAGGTGGTGGTGGATGCCGGAGCCCAGCACCTCCTTAAAGGCTTGGTAGGTGCGCTGGCGTGCCCAGCTGTCCAGGTACATGCACTCCAGGCCAAATCGGATGGTCTCCTCCTGGTACTCCCCACTCTGAGCAGAGAGAGGGGCATCAGCAACAACCTGGGCACCAGGCCTGTGTGTCCCCTGGCTCTCCAGAGAGGAATCATCATGCAGCTGGGAAGCAGCCACGCAGTGGCAGGGCAGGGCAGCACCAGGCCACGGTACCTCAATGAAACGCAGGATGTCCCGGAAGATGGATCGCTGCCTCCGTCGGTCTGTCTTGGCTCGGTACTTGTTGCTCTCAGTAGCCAGGACCTTGAGTTGGGTACACAGGAATTCTGTATCTTGCTGGCACAAGTCCTCCTGCCAAAAAGCAGGGGATTTAGAGGGATGAGCTCCAGGCACTGCCCACTGCCATGGCCAGGACAGGGCTGGGGGATCACTGGGGCCAGCCCCTCTGCCTGGGTGCCTGCTGGTCAATTCCAGCTTGGAATGTCAGGGTGTCACAGCAGCTCCCTCCCTGCTGCCTGCTTAGTGCCACCCACTGCTCCCACTTCCACAGCCCATGCCTTACCTCCAGGTCCTGGGCCAGCTCAAAGAGCAGCGCTATGGTTTCCCCGGCCAGGATGCGCAGGGCAACGCTGCTGCTGGTCAGCAGTGGGGGCAGCTGCAGCCAGCGACTGGGACACGGAGGCAAAAGGGCAGTCAGAGAGACCAAGCACTGCCCCAAGGGCTCCATGCTCCACTGCTGACTGCCCCACACCAGCCTCCACTCACTTCACATCCCACTCACTTGTCCAAAATGCTCCTGAGGTGGGAGGGGGGGCAGATGGTGAGGAGCAGGGACCATGACTGGAGCGCGCTGCAGTGCAGAGGCCCGTGCTGGGCAGGTGCTGAGCCCCCTTCACCTGTGCTGGGGGGACTGAAGATGCCCTCCAAGCAGGACAGACATGAAACCAGGTCCTGGAGGAGAAAAACTTTGCCTGTCAGACCACAGCTGCTGTGGAGAAGCCACAGAGCTGTGCACTGGGGACCAAAGGGGACCCACCATACCAAGGGGTGCCAGGAGAGGTTATTCCACCCACAACACCCCATCTGCTGGCTGCCCCCAGCTCAGCTCCACGCTGCCCAGGGAAGGGGGCTGGGCTGTGACTCATGTCCCCATACCCCTACTCCAGCTCAGCTCCAGGCTGCCCAGGGAAGGGGGCTGGGCTGTCACTCATGTCCCCGTACCCCTATTCCAGCTCAGCTCCAGGCTGCTCTGGCACTGTGGGCTGAGGGCAGGTGTCATGGCAGCCCCTGGGTGCCCTCTTGCAGGGGTACAGACGACACCCAGGCACAGTTACCTCGAGGTCAGCAGCAGCAATGTAGCAGCACATGCCCAGGGCTGTGGCACACTGGCAAGAGAAGTTAGGGAAACACGATCAGGCCAGGTGGATCATGCCAGGCCTGATCCAGCACCCAGCCAAGGGGCAGCCGGGTCGGGGTGCCCCTGCTTTGCCACAGTGCACTCCATAGCACCCAATCCTGTCACCCTCTCGGGACTGCAGGGGCTCCCAAAGGCATTGCCTGGGCTCTCCCCACCACGGAGGCGTCCCCAGGAGGAAAGGGACCGGGCCTTACGCTCTGCCGGGCGCTGGGGCTGGCCGTGCTGTCTGTCAGGACGCTGACGAGCAGGGGCTTCAGGCTGCGGAACACCTCTTCTCCCTCCGGGCCAGAGCCCATCTGGAGGCAGAGGAGGGTGAGCACGGTGCCCGCCAGCGCCTGTTCTTCCCCTTTACCTGTGGGCAGCACGAGAGACTCCCTCAGACACGGGTCACCGACCCCGCCGCCGCCCGCCCGCCCCTGACCTTTCTTGAGGCACTTCTCCAGGGAGTCGGTGAGCGTGAGGCGGCGCTCCAGCAGGAACTCGGGCAGGGTTTTGGAGGACAGGGCCAGGCGCAGGCCCTGCAGTGCCGCCTGCCGCGCCTTGGCGCTGCGAGACACCGCGGCACGTCACGGGCTGGGGTACCCGGCACGGGGCACGTCCTGCCCCGGCCGGCAGCGCTGGCAGCGTGCCCGGAGCGCCCGCGGGGGTGACAGCCGCTGCTCACCTCTTGTCCAGGAGGGTGTCCATGTGCTCTTTCAGCCTGTCCTCTACCTCCTCCTCCTGGCCTGGCTCATTCGCCGCCTCGCTCCCTGCCCGGGCGGCACCACGTGAAGCCGGGAAGCCCGAGGGCGGGGCACACCGCGACCCACGTGGGGGTCACCGTGGGGTCCGCGTGGCTCACCTGGTCCCTCGTCAGCGGGGCTGGCGCTCTCGCTGGCACTGCTGCAGTGGCTCAGCACCTCGCTGCCGGCCTCCTCCTCGCTGCCGGGCGAGCTCGCCCGGGCGCTGCCGGTGCCGCCTGCGGGGGTTCGGAGCAGACTCGTGTGAGCCCGGCGCTGCCAGCCCGGCCATGTCACACGCGGTCCCGACCCCCCGGTCCCCTCGCCCGGGCCCCCCCAACTCACGGCGCGCGGCGCGGCGGGAGCGCGGCATGGCCGGCGCGCGCGGACCCCGCGCCCCGCCCCCTGGGAGCGCCCCCCGCCCTCTGCGCATGCGCCGCGGGACCTGCCCGAGCCCGCGTCCCCGTCCCCGTCCCTGTCCCCGTCCTTGCTCGCCTCCCTGCCCCTTGCTCTGACCCTCTCCCTGCCCTTCTCCCTGTCCAGGCGCTATGTTCATCCCTGCTCCCTCAGTAACCCTGCCCGTATCGCTGCCCCTCTCCCTGTCCTGACGCTATCTTCGTCCCTGGTTCTTGATAGGAAATATGCCTACTGATTTCTTTACAAAAAATTCAGTGGGTCAGGGTCTTTAGGAGAAATGGGTGTTCAGGTCTTTGAAATGGGTCTTAGTGTCTCTACTGACCTCAGGCCACACAGGTTTGGTACAGAACCCAGACAGCTTGACTACAGCTTGAATTCCTGAACTTTAGGGCAATAGACAAATGGGTCAGCACAGTCTATTGCAGAGCTCAGCCTGAACTTCTGAACTTCAGGGGCAAATGACAGGCTTAAGGGCGGAACATGTGGTAGGCGGCTCGGGAAGGCTGTACCTTCCCAGACCTCAGCCAATGGGGAAAGGAAAAGGGCAACATGCAGCCAGGAGTTAGGATGAAAGGAGGCTGCATCATCTGAATGTTGGGAGAGAAGTTCCGTGGGGATATGGCCCAGTGGAGTCTCTCCCTTTATTCGAATAAAGTTGCAGGACTCCTCTGTCTCCTTTATGGACACTTGGCTTCTCCTTACATGATTTTCTGCACATCTCTGCCCCTGTCTCTGTCCTGGCTCTATCTTCATCCCTGGCCACTCACTATCGCTGCCCGTATCCCTTCTTCTGTCCCTGCCTTGCCTGCATCTCATTAGGAAAATCTCATTCCCTGAGTAAAGTACCAATTAGTCTTTCTAGTATGAAATGGTTTGGCCTTTACTGAGATCCATATACCCCCTGTTATGCTGTACACTGCATAGCTGTGGTTGTGTGGGCAGGCAGATAAGGCCCACAGCCTGGGCCCTCCAACACCTCCTGGGGCCTGACAGATAAATACCCCCTGACGTAGTGAGACTGACTCCAGAATGAGGAAGGAAGGATGCCAAAGCCACACAATTGCACTGGCCTTACAAAGCCATGGGGACAGCAGGGAATTTGTGGAGCCTTGTTGTACCCCAACATTTGAATGGTGCGAGACCCACATGTGAACCACATGCGGAGTGCCTCAGTTTGGCTGGGACAACCCCTGGGTGTCAATAAAGAATGTCTCTTGTCATGCTCATCTTGGTGTCCTGGCCCTGCTCCTCAGGTGTGAAATGTGCATGACACCTGCCCCTGCCCACAGCTCTGCCCCTGCCTGTAACCCTGTCCCCAGTGCTGGTCCTCTCCCTGCCTCTCCTCCTAATATTCCTGTCCCTGCCTGTATTCCTGCCTTGTTGTCACCCAATACTCAGGGGACATCTATCCCTGCTCCTGCCTGCATCCCTGGCCATTTACTGCTGCTGCCAATCACAAAATCACAGAATCCCTGGGTTGGAAGAGACCTTTAAGATCATCGAGTCCAACCCAGCCCTAACACCTCAACTAAACCCTGGCACTGAGTGCCACATCGAGTCTTTATTAAAACACATCCAGGGGTGGTGACACCTCCCCAGTACTTTATCACTCTTTCCGTAAAAAAACCTTTTTCCTAATATCCAATATCTCTACTTCTGTCCTTGTCCCTGCTCCTGACTGTATCCCTGTAGCCCTGTCCATCTCTTCTCTGTTCTATCTGTACCCCTGTCCCTGACCCCAAACGGACCCTATCTTCCTCTTATTCACATCCCTGCCCCTGCTGCTGACCTTTCCCCGCCCCATCCTTGTCCCTATCCCTTCCCCTCCCTCCCTCTCTCCCTCTCCCCAGCCTCTGCCTGTCCCCTGCCCACGGCCTGACTCCCTGCCCCTATTCCCCATCCTGCCCCAATTCCCATTCCTGCCAGCCCCTGCTCCCAGGAGCACACTCCCCTCTGCCTACCGCCCCCGCCCATCCGCCTGGCCCTGCCCGACCCTGGCCGAGTTCCCAGGTGTGAGTTTCTGTCATTGGGCTCTTCCCGCTTCATCTGGGCCAGGCGGGCTCCTTCGCACTTTCGTTTCCAGCTCGGCAGAGCCAGAAACTGAAATTGCGTCGGGAACTGAAACCGAAACTCCCAATCTCCCAGCTTAAGGCAGCACGGGCTGCAAACACCCTACGGGTACTGCAAACAAACACCCTACGCGTACTGCCTGCCCCCTCCTGCGCCCGGACCGAGGGGCACCGGGGGCTCTGGCGATGCTGCACCGGCCGCATGCCACTGCAAGGGATGGCACCAGCCTCCCTGGGGTGCTGGCATCAGCCGTGTCCCACTGACGCTGTTGGCACCTCGGTGAAACTGGCTACGTCTGCATCTCATTGCCTACAGCGATGCCAGGGCATCTGCTGACACTGGTGACAGCCTCATTCCATTGCCCGTGGTGACACCAAGGTAGCTGGTGGCGCTGGCCACATCCATTGCCCCTGCTGACCCCATGGCACAGCGTGAGCCGTGTCCCAGCACTGGCTGAGCTCCAGCCCGGACACTTGAGCCCCCAGCGGGGGACTGGTGCCTGCGGTGGGGCTCTGCCTTTCGGGGGAGACCTGTGTCACCGAAGGCACCGGGGCTACGAGGTCCCACAGCACCCCGGAGCCAGCCTGCAGGAGCTGCCACCGCCACCCGAGCTGCATGTCAGGGTGACATCCAGCCGCTCCTGCCCCCTCCCAGCCCCCGCAGTGGTGGCACGGAGACACCCGGAGCATCCCGTGGAAACGGCCTGGGGCCACCTTAAGTTCCCAGCGTGACGCATCGGGGCGGTGACCCGGGAAGGTTTAAAAGCTGCTGCAGACAGCGGCAGCCCGTCGGGGGTGGAGTGCTGCGGGCAGGAGGAGACGCAGGAGGCAGCAAGTGAGAAGAAAGCAAAGGGAGCGATACACCTGTCAGCATGGATGTGGACCTGGTGGCATCCACGAACGGACTGAGATCAGTAACCACCAAGGAGCTGGATGGCTGGATTGCCAAAACCCTGCAGCCCAGCACAGCTTTCACCATGCAGGTGAAGGAGACAGTGTGGCAAATCTGTGAATTCCTGAAGAGGAAGTGCTTTGAGGATAATATCCATGTCCAAAAGACCGTCAAGGTGAGTGCTGCCCGGCTTGGGGGCCAGCTGCCACCCCTGCTGCCACGCTTCCCACTGTCCCATGCTCCAGTTCCTGCCCTGCCTCAGTTCCCTTGACAGCTCCAGGAGTGGTGGCAGCCGATCCTGGTGCTGACAGTGGTGCTGAGCAGGCAGGGTCTCTCTCTGCAGGGTGGATCAGCAGGAAAGGGCACAGCTCTGAAGAACAACTCTGATGCTGATGTGGTGCTCTTCCTCACCTGCTTACCCAGCTACCAGGACCAGAAGAACAACAGAAAGGATATCCTGGATTCGATCATGATGAGGCTGCAGGACTGCAGGGAGAGCCTGCAGTTCGATGTGCACATTGGTGAGCCCAGGTACAAAGGTCCTGACAGCACACCGCGCTCCCTCAGCCTTACTCTGTCCTCCAGGGAGACTAGAGAGTCCATTGATGTGGACATCCTGCCTGCCTATGATGCTTTGGGTAAGGGCTGCAGGCTGGCACAGGGACAGGCAATGGTGTCAGTGCTGGGATGGCTCTTACCCTCCTTCTCACCCTCCTTCTCGCCCCACAGGGCAGGTGACCCAGGATGCCCCCCCAAACCCAGAAGTGTATGTGAGTCTCCTGCATGCCTGCAGCCACCCCGGGGAGTTTTCCCCCTGCTTCACTGAGCTGCAGAAGAAGTTTGTGAAGCGCTGCCCTGCCAAGCTGAAGGACCTCCTGCGCCTGGTCAAGTACTGGTACAAGGAGGTGAGGGGCTGCCCAGCTTTCCCAGTTCCCAATAGACACCCATCCCAGCCAGCTCTCACCTCCATCTGTGTCTTCTCCCCAGATGCTGAATTCACAGTACCCCAATGCTCACCTGCCCCCTAAGTATGCCCTGGAGCTGCTGACCATCTATGCCTGGGAGGAGGGCACGGGCTCCTCCTGCAACTTTGACATGGCTCAGGGCTTCCGCACAGTGCTGGAACTGCTGGGCCGGCACCGGGACATCTGCATCTACTGGGAGAAGTACTACTCGCTCCAGCACAGAGAGATTGGTGCCCATGTCAAGGGCTTGCTGTGCAGTCCCCGGTGAGGACCATGCTCAGTAGGATTGTGCCTGCTGGCCCCATGGTACTGCCCAGGGCTGACAGCAACGCTCACTGTGTTTGCAGCCCTGTCATCCTGGACCCTGCTGACCCCACGGGGATCCTGGGCCAAGACAAGAACTGGGACTTGATGGCACAGGCAGCTGCCAGCTACTGCCGCTCGCTGCCCTGCCTTGCAAACGTCCAGCCCTGGGGTGTGCAGGTAAGGCTGCTTCAGCCTGTGAGCATCATGTTCCCCACCCCTGTCCCTGCTGTCTTTGCCCACCCACTCTCCTGTCCCTGCAGCCAGCCCGGCCCGTGACCATTGAGGTGAGGCAGCTGTCAGGCACCACACTGACACAGCGTGTCAGCCCCTACACCACCATCAGGGAGCTGGAGGAGGTGATCCACCAGAACTGGGACATCTCGCCATACAGACAGCGCCTGGCACAGCAGGAGCCGGGCAGGAACAACATCATCCTACAGGACTGCGATACCCTGGCCACGCACGGCATCTTCTACAACACCACGCTGGTGCTGCTGCAGACTGAGCCCCGGCAGATGGACGTCTTGGTCAAGGATGATAAGAATCGGACCACGACCTACACGGTGCTGCCCACCGACACCGTCCGGCAGCTGAAGGAGCGGATCCAGGCCCGGCAAGGGCCCTCTGCCAACGAGCAGCGCCTGACCTATGAGTCCAAGGAGCTGGAGGACCAGTACACACTGGCACACTACAATGTCAGGCCCATGGGCACAATCTACATGCTCCTGCGGCTCCGGGGGGGTACAGGCCCCCAGCTCCCCTAGCTCCCTGCCTGCTTGTCCTCCTGAGCATTGCCCTCAGCACCAGCCCATGCCCCTGTGTACCCTCCTGTCATGCTGGAAATAAATACTTAGTAGATCCTTGTGCTTCTTGCTCTGTTGGGGACAGTGACCGGTGTCGCATGGGGTAGTCAAAGAGGTTGGGGTCACCAACCTTTCCGGATGAGTGGGGGCCTCAATGCCACAAGCTGCTGGGATGGCACAGGGACACAGAGGTGCAATAAAGCAGTGCTCCCTGACCCCAGGGTGCTTGGTGGGGTCAAGGATGCCAATCTGCTGCCAGCTGGACCTCAGGAGAAAAAAACAGCTCCTTTATCTCCCTGCTCCTGCCTGCACCACTGCCTTCCTGTGCTCATGCTGGGAGCTCAAGTGTCCAGGCTGGGGTGCAGCCAGTGCTGGGACATGGTTTGTGCTGGTAGCATGGTGTCACCACAGGCCGTGGGATGTGGCCAGTGCCACCAGGGGTCCTGATGCCAGCGCAGACAGCAGGAGGCAGCAGACTCCGAGGTCACCCACGGTCACTGCCTTAATTGCTGCCTGCTGGCACCGGGGAAGTTTGGTTTTCATCTTCCAGAAATCAGAGTGGAGCTGAAAGCACGGGGAGCCAGAAGTCTGGGGGAAACCCATCAACCTTGCAGTGTCCCTGCAGGTCTTGTCTCCCCTCAGCCCTCCAGAGCTGGCGAGCATCCCACCCCTCCTGTTGGGTGCCAGAGTGGGTCAGTGCTGTGGGACACTGGGCTGCCCCCGCGCGCTTCCTGGGGCTCTGGGTCAGACACGGGACCCTGGGCGGCTGAATCTGCTTTATTGTGCTCAATTAGTACAAGGTCCCCTGCGCCACTGTTCCACACCCAGAGCGGTGGGTGCCACCTTTATGCCTCCCCAACATCTCCCCTTTATGCCCCCCCTCCTCCTGCATCCCACCAGTGCCTGCCCTGCTGTACCGTGCTCCCACTGCTGCCTGTAGCCCTTTTGGGACCCGAGCGTGACCCTGCTGTGCCGTCCTCCCGCAGTGCCATGCTGGAGGGGGCACCGCCTGGCCCCGCAGGTTTACATTCATAGTAACAGTCGTTAATAAATATTTCGGTGACTGCGACGCCGGCAGCCGGCTGGGTCCCCACCGCTGTTGGAGCCGGTGGCAAGGGCAGTCGGCAGCCCCTCGGGGGACTGCTCAGCCCGGCTGCCCTCCTCGGCCCCGGAGCCGCAGCCCCCCGCCACCGCCCGCGCAGCGCTGCGGGCAGGGCGGCCGAGGCTGTGCCCCACCTGCGGCCCCGCTCCTAGGCAGAGCCCGGCGCCCGGGGCCGACCCCCGGGTCACCAGGGGGATGCGCTGCGGGGACCCCGCTCGGCCCGCGGCCCCTCGTGGGTGCGCCGGCGGCGGGCTCTGCGCGGCTCCTCGCCCTGCCCGCGGCCGGGGGGCCCGGCGGGAGCGCGGGGCGGTGGCGGGGGCCTGCCCCGGCTCCACAGCCTCTGGCAGACCTTGTCCGTGGCTCCCAGCGGTGGGCGCTCCACCAGCTGGAGGAAGTCCCGGTACCAGACCTTGCGGCCGGGGATCCCGGCGGCGAGCTGGGGCTCTCCGGCAGATGCCACACCCGTGGCCTGCCAGGCGCCGATCACCTCCAGGGAGAGCCGCAGCAGGGGCTGGGTGAAGCCGTGCTCGGTGGCGTGGCAGAGGTAGAGGCCGGCGTCGGAGCGCTGCACGCTGCGCAGCAGGACACCCCTCTCGGTCCGCACCACCCGCTCGTCCATCTGCACCTGCAGTACCCGTGGGGATGGGCGGTCAGCTCGGCACGGCACGGCACGGCACGGCACGGCACAGCCCCACCGGCGGTACCCGGCCAGGGAGAGCCTACCTCTCGCTGGGGATCATTCAGGGTGCGCTGGTATGTCCAGAGGATGCGGGCTTGCAGGGATTTGGGGATGCACTCCAGAAAGACGGTGCTTCCCTCCACCCCATAGAGCTGCTTCTGGGGCACGGTGTCCCGCCTGGGATCTGCAGGGACACAGCCTGGCTGTCAGCCCCCCAGCACGGCAGGGTAGCCCCAGAGCCCGGCTGGCTCCCAGCTCACC